AGTATTGTGTCCCGTTCTGGGCTCCACAGTACAAGAGGGCTGTGGAGCTGCTGGAGAGAGTCCAGCGACGGGCTACAAGGATGATCAGGGGCCTGGAACATCTGCCCTATGAGGAGAGGCTGAGGGAGCTGGGCCTGTTCAGCCTGGAGAAGAGAAGGCTGAGAGGGGCTCTAATCAGTGTCTATAAGTACCTCAAGGGAGGGAGTGCAGAGGACGGGGATGGTCTCTTTTCAGTGGTGGCCACTGATAGGACTAGAGGAAATGGCCGGAAACTGAAACATCAAAAATTCCATAGGAACTTAAGGAAAAATTTCTTAACAGTGAGGGTGACAGAGCACTGGAACAGGCTGCCCAGAGAGGTTGTGGAGTCTCCTTCTCTGGAGATCTTCAAAACCCGCTCGGATGCAGTCCTGTGCCACGTGCTTTAGGTGTCCCTGCGTATGCAGGGGGGTTGGACTAGATGATCTCTAGAGGTCCCTTCCAACCCTAAGCCTTCTATGATTCTATGATGAAAGCCACCCCACAACATAGACACTATCTTTCCACAACTTTTATAGTGATCTTCCTCATAGGAGGAATAAGCATGCTGGAGTTTAGAGGTGGAATAGTCTGACAGAATATCCATCCACCAACACATTGTGAGGGTTTTTTTCTCCTCCATTTTCCTTTTTAAAAAATAAAAATTCTTAACATAATTTTTAATTTCCTCACCTTTGGTGTCCACCCAAACACACCCACAGCTCTACCCATGTCCTTTACTTTCCTCCTTTCACACTTACATTTAAGTACTGCCATTAACCAAGCAGAAAAATATAATGAGCTCACCCACCACAGTAACTTTTAAACACGGCTCAAGGTACTATGTGCGTACAGCTTAACTCAGAGAAAAATTTGTCACACTGTAAACCTTCAGCTTACATAACTTTAGAGAGGTGCTTATAGTTCCATTGAGGATAGTCTTCTACTTTGCAGCTTAATTGCTGCACCCAACCCTTTATTAAGCCACCCAGTAAAAGCAGCTCAGAGAAAAGCAAATCCCCCCTTCAAAACTATCTTTGTCACAACTGCCTGGCTGAGTCTGCAGAAAACCCGAGTTTAAAAATGTTCTTCTTAATCTTTTTACAACTTCAGTATCTGAAACTGTCGCTCAGACAATTTTATCATGAAGGCTGAGATCTGTTATCTGTTCTAACA